CTTTAGTTTACAAATATTGAGCTAAATTTAGGTGTGATAATGAGAGGAGAGAAGGTTCAGGATCAGGGAACGTACCGGTGCTACACCAGAACCATCAGAGGGAGCAGGAGAAGCTTTATGAAGCTAAAACTAGACGGTGAGACGTCTTTGTTTAATTTAGTTTTTACAGATTTAAACTGGAGTTGCTCTCATGTTGCTGTTTTCTTTAATATTCTTGAAACGCTTCTTTCTCTGCAGCTCCAGTCTCTGAGGTCCACATGAGTCAGGAAGGAAACTGGATCAGCTGCAGCTCAGACGGGATCTACCCTGAACCTGGACTCACCTGGTCCACCATCCCTCTATCCAACATGGAGCTCCAGACCAGAACCAGAGTCCATCAGACTGAAGCTCAGCAGCTCTCTGATGGTTTCAGAGGTTCTGATCTGATCCACAGCTGCACCGTCACAACTCATCAAAACAAAAACAGCTTCAAAGAAAACAGCTGAGAAACAAAAACTTCTAGTTTAAACTGAATTTTCTGGTTTTTACATTAAACACTTTTTACTTTTATCAAACTGCATCAGCAGTGAAATACACAGTTTATCATTTGACTAAATATTTTTTAGTTTTCAGCTCTAAATACATCATTTTAAATAAATGCTATAAATTGTGTCTGAATTGAGTTCAATCCTCTGTAATGACAACAAATAATCTGCTGTGATCTGAATGAAACATGTCAGAATCCTCCAACAAACAGTCTAAATACAAAAGAAGAAAACAAGCAGCTGCTCTTTGTCCTTCTTGGGATCTGTCCATCTGTCTCGTCTGTCTTCTTCTCTTGTTTGTCCACCACCATGATGTCTGCTTGCTCAGTCAGCAGCTAGAAAACTGATTTTCTGTTGGGCTTTATGAAATGAAATGTTTCAATCCTGCAGCTAATAAAGTTATTTGGACAGTTTTGTAGTTCCAGTGGAGCTTAAAGTTCTTGAACTCTTCAGAATTTTCCATCTTTCTGCATCAATGTGAGCTAAAACATGATGAGAGTTTCACACATGTCCTGTATGAAGCAAAGCTTCACTTTAGCCTCTCACACAGATGGAATATTGGATCATTTCCCTCAATAAATAAAGAAGCAAATGTCATATTTTACTGACATTTGTTTCACTGTTTCTCTTTACTTTTAGGACGTGTGTTAAATCTTCTTGTTTTGTCTTCATCTTGTCTCGTCCGGTGGTAAAGCTTCAGGAAAACATTTCTGCTCACAGTTTGTTTTTCTACAATCTATAGCAGAGAAAGAAAGAGAAATGGAACAAAGCTGAAGAGGACATTTTCTAGCTTTAAAACAGAAGCCAGTTAATAGTTGTTCATTGCTCACTGCCTCCTGTTGAAAGCTGTCCACCTGCTTGAAGACATCAGCGTCTCCTCAGGAGACCTTGTGGACAAGCAGCTATAGGAAAAAGATATGCTTGGCTACCAGGCCTCACACGGCGGCGCCAAAATATCTATAGGGTAATTTAAAGTTTAGAATTCTGAAATATAATTTGTAGATATAATTATATATATTATATTTACATACAATATATTCATCCATCCTTTATATATTTAAATTATATCATATACC